ACGCTATCTCTGTGAGAGGGCGCAGAAAAACACGACGTTTTCCCTCTCTATTTTTATGCGAATACTAACAAAAATATATTTTCACCTGTTTTCAGTGCAACACTATCAATGGTGTCACACCAAACTGTCGTCAGTTGGGCTTCTACAGTCTCCATCCTGTTATTACTCCAAGACCAATCAATAAATCAATACCAATCACCCGCGATATGGACTATGTGATTATAGCGAGCTGGGCGGTTTGGGAATGTCTGAGTAGTGGTCAAATCGCGGCCATACTTACGAGTTCTATCAATCCGCAAGTGGCCGCTAAGACGATTCAGGTAAACTTAAAAGTCCTGGAAGGAGATAGGATACCGTATCTCCAGCTTTCCTTTCAGGACTCACTACAAGCTTGCGATTATACTGGTAACTCGTGCATAGTAGTTATACGACTACTGAAACCAGAGCTGGCATTTCGAAATGCCCCACCATCACCAGCAGTATTCACTCCAGTGGCGATTCCCCCAATGAGGGTCGAAAAGGCCAACGAGCAGGAGTCGACCCTACAGAAGATTGAGCAGAGGTAAGAACATACCTTTTTCCAAAACGATTTTTTTGTCAGGGCTCACGGAAAATTCGCGCGCTGTTTGGCTCGGAAGGGGCATTTCGCACGTTTGCTAATTTCTGTTGCGATTTCCTGTTGAATAACACGTCACGCCTTGGTGAGACCTGTATACTTTTGTCAAGCGCGAACGGAGCTCCTGCTGTTGCATAGCTCTACAGGAATTTACAGATCATCACAGGTAATCCATGGAACCGGCAAAGTGCCCCCTCCAAGCGAAAACTGCGCCAAACGTTCTTTCTTGGCCACTAGCGATACACTGCTCGTCACTCAAAATTAATGCGAAGTGAGGCTGGAAGGTAGAAGTAAGTGACCGTTTCCGCTTCCACCCACAGGCAAGCACGCAGCGCAGCTTGTCGCGCGACCAGCCACACACCTAACTATAGACCGAGCGCGCTAGTTGTGTGCGGAGAA